ATTTTTATTTCATCCAAGACCGTGGTTTATCCGCGTAATGTGTGGAATTTGAGAATGTGAAAAAAGCCTAGACGTGTAGTCTCTGAATAACCTTTCCGTTGTACTTCATCTCCCCTCCTCCCATTTAGTTTCCAAACTTAGCTTGTATTAATATGAACTGAGGTGATTTCCTTCTGTGTCATTCCTTTTACTCATCATGCTTAGAAACTTTATAAAAACCCTTCAACATCTTGTGAAAAATTAAGTAGAAAAAGTATTTCTGTGCCTAGAGGGAAGAACATGGAGGAAACTTGATCTACTTATCTAGGAAAAGCGTTTGGCAGTTGTAGGCTCCATGTCAGATTAACCTTCTGCAACAGGGAGTACAGAAGCCTGGGAAAATGTATACAATTTAAAGTCCAGCCAGTGAGTAAGTCGTGGTGTGTTGAAGTGGAGGAATTCGCTTTAGAAAGGTGACAGTCACAGATAAATGTTGCTCTCTTTTGCAGGTTGTAGATGTTCATTCAGAGCAGCCTGTTGGAAACATTTCTTTCTTTAGACTAAAGAAATTAACTTCTTGATATGTAATAGCTGCAGAGCATCTTGGGAAACGGGTGATATATCACAAATGACACAAGGGTGAGGCAGCACAGCCCATAGGGATTATGACATATTGCTGTGAATATTCAGAGCTGCTCTTTCCAAAATAGCAGAATGCTGCTGTACCTAGAAAAGTCAGGAAGGATAGCTTTTATTCTGAGAAATACTGATTTGAGAGGGCACTAAGAATTATTTAAAGCCTATTAATTTGTTAAGCTGTAAGAATATCTGACCCAAAAAAAAAACCCACAAGGAAAAGGTTTCAGCCTTCAGCCTCTCTTCCTCTCATATGAATTTGGTATCTGTCCACCTTTGAGAAATAGGGCAGCTTTAGCTGCTTCTGAACAAGTATGTAGACCTGAATATCAGAGCAAATAATCAGTAACTTGATTCCCTGTGCAGCTGATCCTTAAATGACCGGTCAGTGTACAACATAAAAGAAGTCATTTATGACACAAAAAACCTTAATTGACTTTGACCTCTGTTCCAAGTGAAAGATCCTTTTTTTAATCAGTGCAGTAAATCATACCTGATTAGAATGAAGCTTTCTAAAGTATCTTAATTTATTTCTTCAATAAGGAGCATTCATTAAAAGGGGAGAAATAAAAAATAGATTTTTTTTCTCTAATATTTTTGGCCACACCATCCATGGTATCAGTTGCACCTGTATGAAAGGCAAGGAGTTTTATAAGCCAGAATTTTGGAAGTGTGTGAAGTACATGCTGTGAGAAAGGAAGAGGGGATAGTTGCCTGTTTTAAAGGATCTGGAGTCCAACTTCCATTACTAGGGTTCCTGCCGAGATCTGTTGAGAGCTTCTGTGCAGGCAGAAATTAGCTGCACAGTGCTGAGCTGTTCAGCATAACATGTTCTCAAAACCCATCAGAAAACGGGGAGCTATGTCTGTAGAAAACAAACTTTGTCCATAGCTTCCTCATTCTCTTTCTGATGGCAATTCTGGAGCCATATGTTGAGGAAAAGACTGGCTTTCTAAACCCACCAGATCTGAAATATGCCTGTGTTGCCTATTAATTTATGTCTGAACAAATACTAACTACAGGTTTTAAAGAATAAGAACTTTCACTGAACATAGGAGTATGTAAATCTGGCAAGGAATATTTAATCTGTTTGGGTAAAGCACAAGGAATCTGGAGAAATAAGGCTAGCTCTGCAGTCAGACTCTCTCTTCTCTGAAAAGCCTGTTGACTGTCTATTTGACAGTAAATAAGAAACTTTCAGAAAAAATGTAAAAAATAAAAAAGAGGAAGCCTAATCTCTGCTATAAATCTTCTGAAAGGTGAGAGCATCTTTGATATGATTGAAAATACAATGGAGAACTTTGTGTTGGCAATGCTTTTGATAACTGAGCTTGAACTGCTTTTTAAATACCTGCTTTGACCTAGAGCTTTCAGGGCCACAGACTCTTATTTCCCAAATTAAACATCCCAGTATGAACAACGTGGATTATTGATACTAAAAACACAGTGCTAGGAAAATAAAATTAGAGAGTCTCAGACAGATTCTGATGCTCTTTACTTGTAATCCCTGAGCGAGGGATATTTGTTAAGTATAGTGCCCTTAGCAGAAGCTATATTTCAGCAGAAATTCAAACATAAGTGTATGAAACACACTTATCTTTCCATCCCCTAGAAATGTACTGTTCTTCTAAACACAAATCTGATATAAAATTCCAGTTTAACTCGGGTATAGTGGTCCCAGTGAAAGCAGAAAAACATTTGAAATTTATGTTGTGAAAGTGTAAAAGATTCTAGAGAAAGCAGCAATACCAGCTCAAGTACATGTGTTAAAAAAAGAATAAGAAGAGAAAGGTGCCACAGGGAGAAAAGCAGTCTTGAGGCAATCCTAGAAATGTCATGATTTAGGATTATTTTGTCCCAGATATTACAAAAGTTTTAGGCAACTCTAAATTTGTGATTTAATTACTTGTGAGAAATTGCTTTTCTTGCATGCTAATTGTCACTGTTTCTGTAGGGATAGAGTATATAAAACTCAGTCATACTCTTATCATACAGGGGAGATGATCTTCATTATGCTCACGCATTTTTTTATTTTATGCAGAGAATAGTGTCTCTGTTTAGTACAGAGAGCCTGAAAATTTACTGTTCTTCTGTATCTTACTCTTTATACAACTTGAAAGAAGAGTGTTTCCTTTTAAATAATTTCCTGCAGTGATTTCTGAAGCTTGTTCAGTATGGAATTGCCATTTGGTCTAATAAGGCTCTAAGAAATTTTATAAATTAATGGTTTATATGACAGTATCAAAACCCCATTCTGTCCAACCAAAACATACACACCTGAGTACCTGTAAGTCATTATCTGACTAGTCCTGATCTGCTTTAATCAAAGAACTCTTCATAGTTTTATATTTGGAAAGGCTAATAAAGCCCCAAATAAAATCTTAATCTGAATTTATAATAGTTTAGAAGTATTCATCCTCT